ACTGCCCGGGACGTGCAGTCCTTGGGAAGGGGGCAGTGTTACGGATTCGGTATTTTAATAGCTAATGTTAGTAGAATTATAAATTAAATTGTTTTATTCCCCGTGAAGAGCAGAGCGTGACAAAGAAAAGCTAAGCCGGAAAATTAAAAATACAAGAGCACGTGCATCTAACAATATTGAAGATATGCTTCACGATAAAACTCAAGATACATTGATACTCCGCGTACAGGCGGGGTATTTATAGCTTTTGACCTGCCTTCGAAAACATTCTGGGGAAAACCGGTAAGAATTCGTACTAGAATGTTCTCGCTCCAATTTTTGGCGCTAAATATCGTTAAATGGGACGTTTCGCGCCAAATCTGGTAACCCTGTTTTCCTTGAACATTTTCTGTCAACCCTAAGCCCGCTTTGCGAGGAAGTTGCGGACCGCTATCTTTCGTAACATTTCCAACATTTTCTACACTTTCTGTTATTTAATTTATAAAACACATTGAAAAATGATCTAAATCTAGATAAATATATTTATTTTTCGAGTTTTGGAAAGGAGAGGGAGGAATGATCTTTAAGCAGTGGTGAAAGGTGTGCATGGGGCTAAAAAGATTATCTCAGTTACGATGTCTATACACAAAGTAAAATGTGCATAGCACGAAATTTTAATTCAATATTGCTATACGATGGGGAAGAGGTATCATAAGTGACCTAAGCCCTTAAATTTGAGGAATTGTTAGGAGATGACATATTTTTCGCTTAGCAGCGATAAAATTATATCTGGTACTCATTCTACAACTTTGCAAAACAACGCATTCGCAATTCCATAAACTAAAAAAAATGACATATTTGAAATGTTTAATAATCGTTATTGCCTAAGATATTGTTTGTTGGTTTGTTTAAGTGACTACTGCTAAGCCTCGAGGGCTATCTGCCTAAGAGGAGGGATGCCTTCGTGGAGAACTTTCTAAGAGAAACTGGCTCGTATGCATGTTACACATGGAGGAAAACCACGAATGTGCCCAAGCAGCCAGCCCGTTTGCGGGGTTCAAACCTCGGACCGAACTACCAGTGTTTAGCACCTTTACCGCTCGGCCCCTGGTGGGCCCTCTAAGATATTGAAGAGATTATAAAACAGTGCTTTGCTCAATGGTAATTGCAAATATCGAACATTAGATAGAAAAAGGCTTGACAGAAGATAGTTCTAACGTATTTTTTGCTATTTAGAGTCTTCAGTTTCGGATAAAAAAATAAACAAAGATCGGGGTTGTCAACAAAGGGTGAAGGGGCATCAGAGCATGTTTAGCAGACGATGAGCTGAGTGCGGGCGGAAACAAACAGCTAGATAAATTTTGAAAATTTAGTAGTATATATTCTGGTGACAACTACTAAAACTCAAATATGAGTTAAAGAATAATGAAAATACAGGCCTTGCTGAAGACTAAACACGTAAGACGATGTCCAGTTTGTGCATGAAAACAGTCATATCAATGTTCAGTTTCCATGTTTGCAATCATGTCCCTTACGTATTAACTGCATGGTGTAGGGAGTCCTGTGTAAAATATGCTACATTACTTTACTGAATGTTACTGTAAATGACACGCAACAGCGTTTCCAAACACGAAATTTTTCATTCAACAGTTTCTATCAATTTTCTCCAGCCGTTTGTTCTGTGCTACATAACAGTTATATGTATGCATGCAACAGATAACTAAATATGTAATAAGCGTTAACATTCACCAATTAATCACTACATAATCACAGCAGCATTCAGTCCGTATGCACACAGATTACCGCACATAATGTTTACACTCCATTCAGCAGCTGTACTGCTAAGGAAGTGCAAATATTAGCATCGCGGTAACATCGGCGGCTTCTATGAGCGTCAAACCTATCGTTCCGTTATATAGCGAAATACGTTATACTGCTGGCATGCACAAAAAATAAATACTTTTCCTACGTAAGAAAAAGATCTTTTTAATGCATCTTATTACAGTTCAAACCGCCGCCCAGTCGGTGCAATGATTAGGGGAGGTAAACCGCTGAGTTGGCTTTCAACCCAGGTACAGATATATCCATGCAGAATTGGCTACCAACTCAGCGCGAGTTAACCAGCCAGGCCGCAGCTCTGGGCAGCCCCGGCAGAGCAGACGACATTTATAAAATGCAAAAAAGTAATACACATGTGCATACAAGGCACTTGAAGAAGAGTACAATCAAAATATATGTATACACATATAAATACCAACTCAGATTCAGATATATACACACTTACATAAATATATATTCCGAAACAAATAAAAGTATACATACTCTTACTCGTATTCATATATACATCTATACAAAATATACTTTATCATGACAGTTAAAGTTTACATGAAGCATGCCATTTAAGTACGCGTCATTCTTAGTACAAATTAGGTACCATAAATAAAAGATATAATCATGTACTGATACAGTACAGCATTCAGATACGGTACAAAATTTGCGTATGAAAACCTGGCACAGCATAAATAGAAAATTACATACTGAACATGTATATTACATATTCTGTTGCTGACATATTGAAATAGCATACTGCTATGCTTTGCAGAGCAAGTAATCTGTCTTCAGGTTAATAAATGTGCCAGTTCAAGAAGAGTTAATGCATACTGCAGGTGCGATGTCTAATGCTAAGAGAACTGTGCTTAGAAATGGCGTTGTTAGAACCTAATATGTGTTAGATATGACTCAAGTTTGTACTTTATGGCTACTATCTTCCAGCGTCAGAAGAGTAATTGCTAGTACAATAGTCAATTATTGTTTTCAGTTTCCGCTGGGCAACTTTGTTACTTTGTACGTTCTGGAATCAATTTGGCCAGAATCTGGCTCCTGGTTGCTTGAGGCTGTTAAGTATGGGCAGGAGAACACAAAATGGTCTGGATGACCCTTCTCCCCACATTCACAGTTACCATTCTCTCTCAAGCCAAAGCGGCTGAGGTATGAAGGCCCATGACCAGTGAGGAGATACGTCATGTAATTGCTATTAGTTTGGATTGTTGTCTTGACCTTGGGAATGAGATTATATACTCGTCTCCCTGTCGAGGGCTTGATCCCAACGTTCTTGCCATATTCTTAGGAAGAGGTTAAGGGAGCCAGTTGCGCTACCAAAGTGCCCAGGTTAGAACCCCGGAGAACGCACTGATGTTTGTAAAAAATATATATATATATATATATTTTTTTTTTACCGCGGGCACTATCCATTTTTAGATCATTTTATTATTTATTATGCAGGGGCACCTAACAGGCGGTCACCGTTACCTGCTATGAAAGGACAGACAATTTACATCCATGCCTTCTCAGGGATTCAATTAGTTTGGTTTAAGTGATTACGGCAAAGCCTCAAGCGCTATCTGCCTAAAGAAGGGATGCCTTTGTGGATGACTTTCTGAGGGAAACTGGCTCGTATACACATCGGGAAAACCACGAAAACGCACATGCAATCAGCCCGTTCGCGGGATTCGAACCTCGGACCGACATTATACATTTACAAACATCCATGTATTCTCCGGGATTCGAACCCAAACTCTTTGGTACCGTAGTAGGCTCCGTAGCCCTTTGTAAATGTATACTGTCTTTGCAGCATGGGGCACCCTAAATATAAGACGAGGCGAAAGTCCTCTCGCGTAATTCGGGGGCAGAGGATAGGGGTGTGAGACCCGAGGAACATCCCCGTCGGGGTCCTCTCCCACTAAAGGGGGGTGGAAAGTAGAAGTACAACCTTCTTGAGGCTCTGGCAACCATTCTTCCATGAAATACACGGACAAAACAACAGTTAAAAGCAAAAAGGATATTCTTCGGTATTAAAAAATAACAGTTTAAACTAACTGTAATATATAATAATGTTTTAAAATACATAAAGAAGCGAAAATTTAATAAGCTGTAACAAATGGTTATTAGTCACTCCTTCACAAACTTGAAGACAGGTCTCTTCAGAAGATATTCTAAAATCATGCCTGCCAGAATTTATAGGAAAATGGCTGGTACGTATCATAATTATGTTATATTTATCGTACATATAAAGGCTTCATAAAAATAATGTGTTGTACATATTACATTTATTAATAGAATTTGAACGTTATATATGGATGCTAATCAAATGACATTTAAATATACAAATGTGCTAAAAAATTCGATGAATACCAAATAAAGATAAACCCTTGCGTATAGTAAAAACTGATTTCAAATCAACGAATGGTTGAAAAATATTATGAAGGAAGATTTCCGCCGTATATTAATGTCGACATTTTTGAATAAAGATATCCATTAATGATGTCCCGAGAAAATTACTATAAAATAACTGTTGTGTTCAACGGGTTCGTGGATTTGGAGTAATTGATGACAACACTCGATAAAAAATTAAAACACAATTTATTCGCCAGTAAGCACTATTAAAGGGGACAGTTCTAAAGACGCGTTTACATTCGTCGAAAAACTAAGACAAACACGCTGAAACGATCAACAACACAGCCTTCAGGCTGTAACGATAAAGACAGTTTTACGGCAAAGCACTTAAGTACAGCTCCCGACTCGGTGGATCGCCATAAAGATAATCTCTGAACTTAAGATACTGCTCTCTTCCAGAACAAGCAGGGTGTATATATATATAGCTTTACTCTACCTTCGAGAAAACCGCTAAAATTGTGTTCAAGAATATTCTCGCTCCGTTTATGACATATCGCCCATTTTGTCGCCAAACATCGCCGAATGGGAAATTCTGGCAACCTTACATTTCTCTGCCACTTTCTGGCAACCCTAAGCCCGCTTTGCGGGGAGGCTATATCACAGTGTAGCCGCTGGGCATTTCGGAACAATACGTTGAACAAAGTTATCCTTAGGCAATTTCTAATTACAGATAAAAAAAACTTCCCAGCACAACGTAGACAACAACTTCCCAGCACAACAGCACAACGTATTAAATTTTTAGTAAACTAGCGTATTCTCAAGAGTAATATAATAGAGAGATAACTTACCAGATCCAGACCCAGAAGACGGCATGTCCATCATATCCTTCAGTGTGTGACCAATGAGGGGTTCCATATTTTCAGGACTGGCTTCAATGTCCGCTCGATACCTCTTTAACCTTTGTTTCTGGTTCCAGAGGCAGAATATAAATAAAATGAGAGCAATGACCACGATGGTAGGGCAGATTACAATCAGGACAGTATCGTAAGGGCCAAGCGTATATCCATCAGGGACTGAAATGAAAGATTGAAAAACTTAGTTTCCTGTTTTTAAATCAAATAACATCTCGTTATGCAGTTAAAGAACTAAGCACTGAATGCGAATTTATATAATCAATGGAGATTTTAATATTATTAAGTCTAATATTCATTAAGAAGGGTACACGATCTTCGGATTCTAGTCCGCGGTGTGTTTGCTCCCCATCAGAACTGTACAAAAAGTGTTCCACTGCAATTTTGTGTAAAGTCGTTTCGTCACTGCATGCATCAAGGCATACCTGCCTGCGACCTATTTTAAAATACATAAAAGCCAGTGATGTACATCCTGCACACAGAAAATAAAAAGGGGGGGGTGCAGTTCTATGTCTTTCATTCTACTGGGCCGATTGACGAAATTTAACTTGCATTTTTCATATTTCTAAAGCCCGACTTAGGATATGTACTATATTTATATACAGCACTTTTATAACATACGTATTTGGACATAAAATCGTATTTTTTTCTTGAACAGATGCCTATTTTTTTTTCAATACCTTTTTCTTGATACTTATTTTTTTCCCATATTTCGATTCTACGACGCAAATTATGGCAAGTTTTGTAAAAATCGCATGAGAAGTTTTTAAAAAATTAACTCTCAAAATTTTAGCTCCTCAATGATAATTGATTTTGGTATATCATTTTTAATAACTTTTTCCCACCTTTTAATTAAACTTAGTCGATTCCTTCTTTCATAATTCGAAATTTAGGTTCAATCGTAATAAAATTCGCAGCTATTTTCTGATTTGTTTTTTTAATATGTATTTTTTAGTAATTTTTATATATTTTCCGAAAAAAAAATTAAAATTATAATATATAAAATTTTTGCCATCATCTTAAAGTAGATATATTTCTAGGCATACTTGCAAAAAATTAGAATTTTTATTTCCAAATTTCCCATGATATACGTGAATTTATATACTGGCACTTTTTGAAATTTGCCATATTTGTTATAAGCGATAATGACGTCAAATATGGTTATGCACTTTGTTAAGATTATTTGAAAGAATAAACGATGCACCTTTTATTCCGCTCATGCACAAGTGAAATGGAAAGGAAAATTGGTTAGCATAAATTAAAAATTTCGCTAAGTGAATTATGCTTGGCGCAAAATGAAAAACGTGCGTCAAGATAAATTAAAAAATTTCTCGATAAGTTTCTCATCAAGTTTTACAAAACTTAATATTTAGACATAATTTGAGGCGTAGAAACGAAATATGGAAAAAAAAAGTTATACCATTTCAGAAAAAAATGCAATTTTTTGTCCAAATACCTGTGTTAGAAAAATGATACATATAAATCTACTACGCAAGTTAAAATTCGTCAATCGGCCCAGTAGAACGGAAGATACAGAACTATCCCTCCCCCCTTTTTTTACTTCCTTGTACGAAAGGAAGTATTGTAATCGCGAAAATTTCCGGGTATTATATTTCAACGAAAATATCCATTTTGAATGCAATTTAACGATGTTATTTGCGTGACATCTGTAGGTAAGAACAGAATTAAGGATTCTTTTTCCTAAAACGGTTTGCAAAAAAAATTCAGAAGAGATTTCTTTCGTGACGTCTGTATGTATGCATGTATGTATATATCTTGCATAACTCAGAAACAAGGAGCCTCAGAATGTTGAAATTTTGTAGCTATGACTGCTATAACATGTAATTGTGCACCTCCCTTTTTTGTGGCAATCGGACGCATCAAATATATATATATATATATATCTGTTACTCGGCTCAGTGGGCTCGGTCTTTTTTATTCCTATATGTTCGTAAATTGTACTTTTTTTCGCTTTAAAAATGATTGAGTTATGTTGTTCTTATCTTCCGGTTAAGGTTTTTATGCCTTTAGTTAATGTGCATGCAATAGCTGTAGAATTATCAACAATTTAAAAGTTGTTTTAAGTGCGGCTAAGCCTAACTTTTTACCATAGCAGCCATGTTTACATTTGAAATTTAGCAGAACACTGAATTAAGTCCGTTTCTGCAACTCCAGTGTGTTTTTTGCCGAATGGGACCAAAAGTAAACTTTCAGTTTTGTGCACCGAAAAATCAGTGTTCTAGCATGCTGGCCGAACTGCTTGTTTCTGCGTAGAAACTGAAAGGGTAATTGGAAAAAAAAAAAAAAAAAGTTTTAAGTGTATTTTATGTTTTCCTATATTTTTAAATTTTTAATAAAGATATTTAGAGGTTTTATGCATTTTTGCCTTGCCGCGAAGTGAGAACTGAATTATATTCCGTACAAGGAAGTGATGCGGTGTGCACATCAGTTTTTTGGCAAGGTGTACATTCCATGAATAATATGCAGACCATTTTAACTTTTTTCAGAGTCTCCGTTTCTCTGTTGAGTCAAAAACTCAAAATTAATTTCTGCCCTTCTTTAAACAAACATATCTGCGATCACATTATAACATTAGACAAAAATATTTTCAAAATATGAAAAAGTTTTTCTTTTTATAAATTCACAGTTTAAAAAAAAATATATCGCCGTTTAAGTTAAACAAATCACTCCATAATGGGGGCTTTTTGGAATTTTTCTCAAAGGTAATTTATCGAATTTTAGCATTTAAAAAAATTGAAATTCGACATTTTTTTTAAGATATCAGTTGCTAGCAATGGTGTTTTAAATCGACATATTTTATATCTCCCCGCCAACTGCCTCGTGATTTAACTGATGATGAGGTACAGTTTCTAAACCAAACTAAAATTTAAATAGCTAATTAACTAAATAAAAAAATTAAGTTACGTGTACATGTTGCTGCGCTGATAAGAAAGACTAATTAATTTCCTTTAAAGTCATTTTTTCTATTACTTGTCTGCATTCTGTACATTACAACACATATATAATAAAAACATTAAATATACATACATAATATAACATTAAAATATATAATAACACATATATAATAAAAACATTAAAATATATAATAAAAGCATTTCAAACAATAAGTTTTTAGTTAAATGTTCTAGAAAACCAAATAATGGTTTTCTAAGTAATTTTAATATTCTTGATCTTATGTAACCAAAAAATAAAATCCTGGGATGCCCATACGAGTATTTTATTAAAGCATTTAATAGAAATTCAAGGAACAATAGAAGCAACAGTACAGAAATAAACAGCAGAACTAATGGCACAGAAATGATATAAAACATCTGATGTGGACACCACATGACTTCCTTGTACGGCCTATTAAATTACACTGTTTTACGCTCAGTTTCAAAGATTTAGCGTCAGAGAAGCAATAGAAGCTCATGGGTTCATTCTTGAAAACTCTCCCCCTCATTGGTAATACTGATGTGCAATTAAAAAATATGCCCACAGCAAAAATGTTCAAACTTAAAATTTTTTTAAAAAGAAGATGTGCAATAGCAAGCTCATGATGAACTATTGCATTGTAAGTAATGCTGTAATATGCTCCAAAGTACAAATGAATAAATGCCATATAATCTTAATTTTTCTACTGTCTTAAAGTGTGATATTAGTAGCACCATCTATCGGCGACATTTCGAAGTCGAAGCAGTGACAAATATAACTGATAGGGTTTAGGAATTTAGAGATGAAGTAGTCATGATTTTTTTCTTAGATAAATTCATTCTTGCGATTTACTCATTAATTCTTTAAAAAAATAAAAAAAGGGGGTGGGGCTTGATTTTGTCTGAGACACAAAACTAGTGGCCTAAAATTAACAAATATAATATTAGTAAATATTTATGCACGTTTACTTCTAACGATTTTTTTTGCATGAATTACGAATATATTTAAATCTAATTTTCCTAATAATATCTCCCTTTCACAATGTGGATTCTTTTGGCAGAGAAATTGCCAATCACCATTGATAACTTAATAATTAATGCTAAAAAAAATCTGAAAACTTTCAGAATTTATATTACGCCCAAAGGGGTGCTTTTTTGCCCCCACGTTTTGTATGCTACCTTTATTTATCAAATACCATGTTTTTCCCAGTTAAACCATAAAATCCAATTCAATAGCAGTATCACAAAATATTTAAAAAGGCCCCATCTTTAGAATTTCCGATACACAGTCTCGCGCCCTGGAGATAAAAATGTTTCTGTTCTCTCTGTACGGTGTTGCCTTTGCTCGCTTTGAAAAGTTGAGTTTGTTAATCAAAAATTCGTTAAAGTTTTACAAAATATATGAAATAGACAATAAGACAAATTCCAGATTCCAATTTTGGGCTTCCAGATGCCCATAATCGAGGGAAGGACTACGCTATTCAAAATTTGATGTCTCTAGGTACCGCTGTTTTTGCATAGTGCGAGAAACATACATATGCATATTTATGCAGATTCTTTGTCATTTAATCTCTTTAAATATAATGCAGGGCTCTAATATTTGGCGGCAACAATTTGAAACTTGAAACGCCATTTTATAGTGAACCAACGCAAAATGCCACAACGAAATGTACAGCCCTTCTGAGCAAATTGGCCCTTTGGGCTAAAAAAGGGGGGGGCGGCATAGATATATTCAAACTAGAAATATTCTTTTAAAAATAAACAAACAAATAAATGAAGTTGCATTCTGTGCCAGAAATTAATTCTTCCGTCCACTCTGATACGAAAATTTAATAATTCACTACGCCTAAAACGCGAGGCAGCAAAAACAGTTTGCAGGGTATGTTTTTAACCCAAAATACTTCAGTTACTGAAAAACAGTTTCGCTCCAAAAAATTAAATCAATGTTGGATAAAATTAAATAACAAATATAACAATATCTTTCCATGCTTTGTTTGCTGTCACATTCTACTATAAAAGACGAGTTGGTGAAGGGGAGGTTACATAGGAAAGACTTTGCTCTATCTCGGAAGGGGGCCAATGGCCCCTTACTAGATCGGCATCCCATGATTCCATCTGGCTCACTGGGTGGTGACCAATCATGCCTTATGCAGCTGTCAGCTAGATGATATATGAGCCTTCGTATAAGTTAGCTGTAGCTAAAAGCGCTGTGGTGGACAATTATGATAC